TATTAACATTTTTATAAATATAATTACTTAACTAATATTCAAAATAATGTTTTATATTATTACTTTTGTGTCCTTTATTACTTACTTTAAATTATTACTTTTCCCTTGAGGAAAAGAGAGGGGTCTTCACCTATCAATTACCTTGTAAACTCACTGGATAATCAGGATTTAGGGCAAACCACCAGGGAACAGAGGAGGGTTCCATTAAGAAAGACAAGAGAACAGCTACTATCCTCGGAAAAACAATGACTTGTGGATAATGGAGATACAATGCCCAATGTATTCTATATTAGCATGATGTAAACATTTTAGGCAATGAGAAATTAAACATCTAGACACAGTACAGTCTATAAAACCAGAGCCTCTGACTGCATTCTGTTAGACAGTGCACATAAACTAATAGAAGGATAGATAATCCATCTGATTTATACTCTGGTATATCATATTTCACAACATTTGGGAATAACACACCAAGTATAACCCTTACAATAGAAATCACAAAGAAAATACACAAGTACTAGGAATATTATTGAGCCTGAAACTAGCAGGATGAAAAATGGTCCAAAAGGTCAGATTAGTAACATTTCTGGATGATTTCAAAAGGTAATGAAGCCAACACATTTTTTAAGAATGGGGGCTTGAGTTTTAAAAGAAAAGTCAGAGCAAGTCAATGTGTCAGAGAAAAGACTGCAGTAAAGAGGGAAGCCAATCCCTTCCCATTCAAAACATGCATAAACTGATAATTAAGAATTGGCTGGAATCCATTTTAATATTAAATTCTTGAAAGTAAGACTACCGTTTGGTAGAAATGGTAGCAATTAAAACTTCATCACTAAAAAATCACATTAAATCAAATTAAAAGGAGTTAAATCAGAGCAACCATTTACTTTATTTCCCTGAAAGTTATTCTTTCTTTTTTTTTTTTTTTTTAAGACTTTATGTATTTATTTGAGAGAAAGAGAGAGAGATAGCCTGCCAGGAGGGAGCCCAACACGAGACTCGATCCCAGGACCCTGAGATCATGACCTGAGCCAAAGGTAGATGCTTAACCACTGAGCCACCCAGGCACCCCCCTGAAAGTTTTCCTTAAATACATCCTCTACAATATGCCCTATATACAGATTGCATATGCCCTGAAAGTGTGTGTGTGTATTCAACTATTGCTAACCTTCCAAACATATTGTCTTTGTATTTTCTTGAAAATAGCACATTTTATCATTTTAAAGTACCACTGCTCTGTCAATAGGTTAAAAAATCACTAATGAAACGAATTTGCTGTGTTTGGGACATTGTTAAGAAGGCACAAAGGAATCATAAGCAAAACTACTCTCACACTGAGATTGTAAGAAGAAACTTTCTCCAAGGATGATGGTCTCCCCTGGTTGGGACATAGATCATCGTCTCTCTCTGGAATAAGAAAACACAGGGAATGAGGCATCATGGGCCTAGCCCACTCATCCAAAGGATGATGGAGGTTATATTACAGCAAGAACTCCTTCTAGATAATAGGCCACGTGCTTCTCTCCCTAAGAAGGTTCTGCTTGGGATGAGTGGACTAACCAGTCTGGAGAACGGAAACCATGTTAAACACTGAAATTGATGGTTTAAAATGTACTTAAATTTTAATGATGATATCCTGATTTGTGAAGACAGCATGGAGATACAATATTCATTTGTATCCTTTTGTTGTAAAATGTTCCACAACTGATCCACAAAAATGTATTAGATGTTTATTTTCTTAAGAAAAACATCCATATCTGTTTTCTCGCCCACAATTGACACAGAAGGGCAATTTTTCCCCCCTAAACACCCTAAGACTATTGTGCACTCATTGATCATCCTAGAACAGATCATTCAAGTCCTATTTCTGACAGCCAAGTTAAAGACACACCAACTCACAATGCAGGCATTATAGTGCAATTTCCTTATGATATAGCAAGACAGGATTTTTTTTTATTACATGCCCTTATGATTTCTTCTTGCTGATGTTAATAGTAAATGCTAAAATATTCTATGTAAGCATTTGTCGGGCTGGAAAAAGAAAGAAACTCTAATGCAAGTATTTATACCTTCCGCAATGAAAACAAGATTATTATTGCTTTGCGTGACCTTTCCTAAGTATGGGATACAGCACTTTACACAATAGTTTCTTGGTTCATGCTTCAATTACTGACCTTTACTGTGCAGAAAATTAATGCAATTTTCATTGTAATCCATCCGTACAAATAAGGTCCACATAGAAGAATTCCACATTTGGAATCTAATACAAATAGGAAATGTCATCTGATTGCTGTTGGCTGAACTTAGCCATTATCTGTTTGTTCAGGGGTCCCCAGAAAACTACACTTGTAACAAGCAATTTCTTGCATGGGCCATCAGGAATAAGAAAGAAAGATTTCCTCTCTTCAAAGTTTAGTTTGTACAGTTAGTTTCCTAAAAGCCAAAAAAGTAGTTACCTGAAGGTTCTATGTTATAACTGAAAGTCCAGACACACACACACACACACACACAGGCACACAACTGTGCAATCTAATTTGGCTTCTCATACCGGTCACCACCATGGACTTCTGACAATGAAAACGAGCAAGAGGCTACAGTGATATCATTTTACAACAATCCCCCTTCCAGATAATAAAAGTATGACAGACCCCAGACCACGTCCAGGTCTGTGCATCAGAGATTTGCAGAATATACAGAATGCGTCTATCTCCCAAGGAAGCTGTGCCAGGGGGGCCCCTCATGTGCTTTCAACTTCCACAGTTGCCTGTGATGGTATTTGGTGGGAAGGGGTGCTGGCAATTAAGGAATGTCACTTTCAAGATGGATAGTTTGGATAGAAAGGAGTTTCCTCTCTTCTTCTGGTTTGGAAGGAAACGGCTGTGTGTTTATAATTTGTAAACAGCCCATCGCTCACTGGGTGTGTTACAGTTCCCAGAGGCATGGTCTGTCATGTCTAACATGCACCAGAAGCCAGGAGGGTTCTGTGGGTAAGCCCTTCGGTATATCACAAGATGGAGGGCGGTGGCCCAGTGGCTGTGTGTGCAGGTCTATGACGAGCACGTCTCAGTCGTGGAGTCTGCTCTATGTGGAGAAGAAATGATGGACTGTAATATATATTGGGATGATGTGGGCTCCAGAGGTCTTAAAGTTGAAAATCCCTCTATACTTTACAAAATCTCTCAGAGATGTGAGATTGAAAACATATGAATAAGGACTACAAAGTTCACCAGTCTCCCTAACAGTAGAAGGGTTGCATTAAGCAGAAAGAGGTATAAATAGAAGTCAACATTTCATTTTAGATTTATTTCTCTGGATGATTTCATAGACCTGTAAAATTGAGGAAGCAAACAAACATGGCCATGCTGTGGCTGTTAAAGGCCCTATGAAAATACTACAATCGAAGTATCTCAAGAATGGAATTGCCCTGAGGGTAATGAGGAACATCCCGATGCCCATGCTCTGTGTGTAGCAGGTTTGGCATACCTGCCATGGGGAGGGCAGTCCTTGGATAAACACAAGAGCTCCAAAGCTCTTCCATGTAGATGTTACGGCTCCAACTCAGTCATCCTTGCCCAGGAAGGCTTGAAGCCCAACTGGCTCTACTTCCAGACCCCCAGGCCCCCAGACAACCCTTGAGGCACCTCAGTAGAAGGCTGGCTTGTGACAATCACTGGTCTAGACTCCATGGCCCAAATTTCTTGTTTGCCAGGTCACACCACCTTTTCATTCATTTCCTTCTTGTTGGATGCTCTCCTTTATCAGATGGGCCAAAGACACACGGTCATAATGATCTCTAAAGGGCAGATGACGCCCTCTTCTACGGAGGGCTCATTTTAACAGACATAGCCAAACAGAAGAAAATCTTCCTCACTTCCAAGCCTTGGTACATAAAATTTAGCATTTTGCCCGGTAAAAGTTTAAAGTAACTTCATCAATACTTGTGCTTCTTTTGGTAAAACATCCCATCATCATGCAGGTTAGCTTGGCTATGACTATTTTTCCTACTCAAGGAGTTACATTACTCAGAAGCAACACACATCGATTCATCAAGAAGGAAGCTGCATCTGTGTGACCTTATTCTGGAAAGAGTCAATACCATTTTTTAAAAAAAATATTATGCTTTATCTTATTATTTTGCTATTAATGATCATTTTAGCACAACAAATAAGATTCACTTTGTAATGCACCCAATTTGCTTCAAATGGGCAAAACCATCTGGCTCACTCAATTAATTTTAGGGCTGTGTGTGTCATGGAGCCAGGATTTTTTTTTTAATATGTTGCTATTTTATGGGCATTTTATATTGGATACTTAACTCTTAAGATCCCCCCTTTCGCCTGTTTCCCCTCCTGCAAGCCTCCTAGACACAACCAGCACAAACCCCATACACCCACAGGTTCTAGGAGGCTGGAAGTCCATTAAGCTGGTAGCATCTCATTTGGCATTTCCATTTTTTTTTTTTTTTTCATTTTATTCCAGAAGGTTTGTCTGAAAGTGTAATGACAACAAAAGCAGCAGATTTGAGAGATTCTCCCAGGAGAAGAAAAAGGACAGATGTACACAGACATATAGCTGAAAACATTGCCAGCAACAGCTGGGAAACTGACAGGCTCTGAAGTGGGTGACCACCCCACAGAGCGCAAAGGAACAGCAATTTTACTTGATTTACTTTTGACTTCCTAGACTACCTTTTATCTACCTTTTATACACCAAGGGGCAGGCTCTTGCGATCTTCCCTCACATAAAATGACAAGCCTCCTCTAGGTACGCTTTTTATAATATTACAGTAATTCCTTATATTTTACCCCCTTTTATCCTCACTGAATAAGAGCTTTAAAAAGTGATATCCTTTATAAATTACACAAACATTACTATGCCGGACACTCCATAGTACTAAAAACAAAACAAAACCAAACAAAAACGGTTTGACTCAACCAGAAAAGCGCTATCTGCTCACAATATTAACACCCCCTTTCATGAGCTTCCCTGAGCACACTCACCTTGTCATCTTCATCCTCCTCTTCCTCTAAGTCTGTGCTCTCCTGAAAGGAAAAACCACAGTTGGTTAATATACCATCCCCTGAAATTACTAAATGCAAATTAAACCCATATACACTTTTTATGTTTTTTCTACATAATTGACGCACTAGTGGTTTTTAAATACATTATAACTTCTTAAAAAATAATGCTTTTAAAGTTCAGGGACACTGTGGCAAGACTATAAGAAATATATGCATAATCTACATAAAACTTCACTATAAATAAAGCTATTCGGCGAGTGCCCTTTGAAGGCATCCAGCTTTAAAAATGCATTGCCAGGTTACTTTCTGTAAACAGTTTGTTCTTATTCTGACAAATGAGCCAACTGCTATGTTAAGGCTAAGAACACCATCCTCGGTTTGTGCTAGGCTCATTGTTATAATGACTGCTCTTTTCCTTTGGGGCCATTACTGAAGCATTAGACAGTAGGAAATGCATTAGTCTGAATATAATCAATCTCAAGAATAAGTTACAGGTTTCAGTACATTATAATTGTTTTCCTTGGGATTCGGGGAGGGGGTTGGGGGCAGGTGAGAGAAGCCAACTCAGGTTCTGATAGCCACTAACAGGCACCTGGCTTTAGTTTGGGGGCCAAAGCACCACCAGGTGCTGTGAATAGGCTTATTCAGATTGGTTTAGAAATCGTGACTTTTTACCAGGTTAACTTTTAATTGTATCACTGCAATAGTTAAAAGCCAACACAGTCCAGGGCGGGTGGTCCGTAGCTCAGACAGAATGCTGAATATTAGAAAACCAGAGTCTGTTTACAGCCTGAATGCTTACCTCTCTGCTCAACCACCTTGCAAGGTCAGGCATGCTGTTTAGATGCCATCTTTCCAGTAGTAAACAGAATTGTCAATATCATGTTCTTAAAGCAAGAGTAACTCTGAAGTATCCAGAGAGTACCCTGCTATACTCCATAAAACCACTGAGCAGTTACCAAGCATTTCTCCAAGACCGGTACTCCATTACCTCCCAGAATTCCCATGAGCTGCAGCTAGTACTGTGTGGGACGTTCCACGGATGCTGCAGAACTCACCTATTCACCGTTCGCAGCACATATGAAGGCAAATGGGTAAAAACACGTAATAAAAACACCTTATGGGAGGAAGAACATTGTAATTAGGAGTTAGAAGCCCAGCTTGGGACAAAGTCTTCAGCTTGGGACACTGGTCAAGCACATCTTGCTGTGTGACCTTGGGCAAATCACCTTGCCACTCTGGGCTTTACTTTCCTCAAGCATAAAATAGAAGTGGTAATTCTTGCCTCCTTCATGGTTGTGTTATCAAGATTAAAATAGGTAATGAATTTGAAAGTGTTCTATAAATTAAAAATATTTTATACACACATTTATAAGCACATTCACTTAAGTATTCTTTTTATTTTTATTTTTTTTTAATTATGTTATGTTAGTCACCATGCAATCATCATTAGTTTCTGATGCAGTGATCCACGATTCGTTGTTTTCATATAACACCCAGTGCTCCATGCAATTCGTGCCCTCCTTAACACCCATCACCGGGCTAACCCATTCCCCCATTCCCCTCCCCTCTAGAACCCTCAGTTTGTTTCTCAGTTTCTCATGGTTCATCTCTCCCTCCGATTCCCCCCCTTCATTTTACCCTTCCTTCTCCTAATGTCCTCCATGCTATTAAGTATTCTTATGTACCCATATATACATGTATATATACCTGCCTACAAATGCACACACACCATGTATATAGCTGGAAAACTAAAATCTGATTGAAAATTGTAAAAATGTGAGTTGACAGCATTTTTTACTAAAGATGTTTCTCTGTGAAAATTTCCCTCATCCATATCTGTGCGTAACTTAGTCCTTAAACAATCCTGTACTTTAAAGCTATTTATTTGTTGGTTCTAGCATTGTTAGGTCCCTCATTATTGATATATGTCCATGCCTACTGCATTAAAGAATCAAATATCAAACAGAATAAAATTTTGAATTTGCTTGAGGTTTTTACTCCCTGCCAAAGACTCATTTTCTCTACTTCCCTTCTACCCCGAAATGATACCAGAACATCCCTTTAATGTCCATTATTTCAGAGATTTTTTTAAAAAAATAATAGCATTGTATGGAAAAATGGGTGAAGATCGTTATTAGCTTTTGAGTCTTGAGAAACCCAATGTGAAGGTCCTCTAATATCAAGTCTCAGAATCTTAGATTTTTGTTCTAAAAATTTGTTTCTTGAATCTGGAGGTCCAAGATAATACCATAAAGCAAGTCTACAAATACAAGTTCTTGTGCACCCAGACCAGGAAAAGATTCTCTGAGCTGGGATAAGTGGAACAGGAGAAGCTGAGTCAGACAGTAAGTATGATAAGTAGATGCTAGGGGATGTCTTGCTTTTGCTTCCTTCAAGACCATGGGAAGCTTGAGATTTTCAGGACTTGGGCACCCAAAAATTGAGCTGTCTATGCCCGCCCACTCTCTGATTTCTCTAGGAGTTGGCAAGCCTCTGAAGGCTTTAGGCGAGAAGTGAACACTGCACAGGATGTCTGGGTCGAGAGGCCTAAGGCAGCCTCCCAGATGCTTTCCATGCCCTGAAGGAGCTCAAGGAGAGGCCAAAGGCTTTTTTCAGTGGTTGAGAATGTTATTCATAGGAACCTTACAGATAACCAGATGGGCACCGAAATATGCTGCCACCATGATAAAGATGACCAAGCACCAGAGGGCTCTCCTCATGCTAAGAATGTAGGCCAAGGCTCAGGAACATAACATAGAAGGATGACTCTGGGTTATAACCCAATAAAAGATCCCCACTATCACATAAATGTATGTGCAATGTTGCTCTCCTCAAGTCTCAAACAAAGTGGACTTGGGTCATGATTTGGTGGTGGTTGGTTGTTGTTAACACATTTTTTTCCTCTGGTCAAATGTCACAATTACTGGAATCTTAGCTCACCTGGCTGTCCTGGATGCTGCCAACCTTCCCTTTTGTGGGTGTGATGAAATTGTAGATGAAGAGTAGCAACAATGCCAGGGGGATCATGTACAGTTCAAAATTCCAGACAGTGACTAAAAATACCTGAGTGGAAGACAAGACAAAATAGTTGCTTGAAAAATCAGTATGGGAGTAATCTTAAAATCCTTCGTATTGACTTAAGGAAATTAAATCTAGGACACTCTACAGCAGCTTTTAGGAACAGTTGCCTACAGGTTCACACACACACACACACACACACACACACACACACACACACGATTAACAGTTTTAGCATCGGCAGTAGAATGAGGAAGATATAGAAATGAGTAAACCAGTCACACTCTGAAATAGACAATATAGTAGCCTCATACCTGAAAATCCCATTACCCCATCAACTGTATTCATTTTTTTGCCCCGAGACTTACCAGAATTTAGGAAAGTAGTATGGAAAAAATCCAAGGTCTCAGAGTCAGGCCACAGACCAAATTTTGCCAATAGTAAGGTTTACTGGAACTGCAGAGAGTGATTACTTTTCAAATTGGCTGCCAATGTTTAAAAATCCAAATAGTTCAGATAAAAACTTCAGATAGCCAAAGTCTCCTTAAAAATCTTAAAATTTTCCAATTTTGAGGCTGGATGGTCACAAGGAAATGATGGAATGCCTACATAAGACGAGGTATTTGCTTTACCTGCCCAAGTGCTGTCAGCCTCTGTATTTGTGACCCTGTCCTACAAAAGGACAAGCAAGAGCTTGGGTTTGAATCCAAGTATCTATGTGACAATGGTCATGGGAAACATAAATGCAAATAAGACATGGCCCTACCTCCAAGGAATAAGTGGGACAAATAAAACAACCCATGATAATTACAACATGAGGCAAGAGTGAAATCATGGGGAAATGATTTCAAAACTTGAGCCTCACTGTCTTTTCCAATTCACAGGAGGTCCAGAGGATGAAAAAAAGATGATTTGTGGTTATTGGCTGTTAGTGCTTTTAAGTGCTTGAAAAAGTCACTTGTTTACATCAACTTAGAAGAGGCAACTTACTGCACCTTAAATACTGAATCTTCCTTTCTCAAAGTAATATTGTTTTACTTATTACTAAAAATATTTTATACCATGCTAAAGTTTTACTTTTGTAGATATATGTATTTCCTGCTTTTTTTGTTTGCTAAATTTAATCATTTCTCCCATTATATATTTCAAGCAGATAAATAAAATCTAATAATTTGTACGTATTAATTTTTTTAATTTGTAACTTTACTGAATTTTCTTACGACTTCATATAGCCTTTCATTTCACTTTTGGGGGGTTTCTAAGAATATAGTCATACAATCTACAAATAAAGAACTGCTCCTATTTCCTCTCGTCTAGTATCTATAACTTAATTTCTAATATGTATACTTACTTTCATTACTACTAACTAAACAATTTTAAATAAAAACGTTGAGAGGGATATTGTCTAACTCCTGAATTTTACAAAAATGCTTCTACTGTTTTATAATTAAGCATGACATTGACTTTTAGTTTGAGCTATATAAATCATTTTGTATTAAGAATATGCAAATAAACCTTTTTAAGAAAACTAGAAAGTTTACATACAAGCATTCATTTTATTATTCTTAATATTTTAAAAATATTTATGAATCCTCTTTATGAAAATATTTGAAAAAAATATTTTTAAATAAGAACACTTACGTCAGTTTTAACAAGGATTTTTTTTTTTTTTAAGATTTTATTTATTTATTTTGACAGAGAGAGATACAGTGAGAGAGGGAACACAAGTAGGGGGAGTGGGAGAGGGAGAAGCAGGCTTCCCGCTGAGCAATGAGCCTGGCATGGGTCTCGATCCCAGGACCCTGGGATCATGACCTGGGCCAAAGGTAGATGCTTAACGACGGAGCCACACAGGTGCCCTAGGATTTATTTAACTCAAGAATGGAGAAGGGTGAATGATTAACCAATTGTTCTTTCACTATCCTCTGAAATAGGGAGGGTTTTTTCCTTCTCATTTTAGAACCTCAACATGGTATATTGTATTTATAATTTCCTAATATTGAAGTGAATTTGTATTTCTGGAAGAAATGTCCCCTTTAGTGGGCTGTAATGGTCTTATAATGTATTTTGTATTTTATTTGCTAACACTTGAAGACGTTTTGCATAGATACCCATGTGCTATTGTTTTCTTTTTATATTATTTTTAGGTTCTGGTATCAGGATTATATTGATACTACTATTTTGGTACACTCCATTCTTTCTTTCTCTATACTAAGGATAATATTTTCATGTCATATTACCAAATATTCCAAGAATGGAAAAAATAAACATAGACTAATTTAACAAATGCCCATGCACCTGCATGCATTAAGACTTGTCAATGTGTTGTCAGTTTTCTTTCCAATTTATGTATTAGTCTTTTTAAAAAATAAAACACTTCAGATAATTGGTTCCCACTGTCAACCTTTCAGCGACTACCCTCAACCTACTCCTCCCATTCCCAGAGGCCACCATATCTGAAAATGGACGTGAATCCTTGCATCTGAGGACATCTAAGATTTATTTTAGAAACAACATAAACAGCATCAAAATGTTCCCGTAATTCTGAAATTTTTTTATTCAATATATATTCCATAGATCTGTTGATGGTGTAGGTATAAATCAAGTATATTCATTTTTAGGGGTACCTGGGTGGCTCAGTCAGTTAAGCATCTGCCTTCGGCTCAGATCATGATCCTGGGGTCCTGGGATCAAGGCCCGCATTAGGCTCCCTGCTAAGCAGGGAGCCCGCTTCTCCCTCTCCCTCTTCCCCCACTCATGCTCTCTCTCTAATAAATAAATAAATCTTTTTAAAGAAGTATATTCATTTTAACTGACATATGGTACCGCATTCAAATGAATGTTCAGTAATTTATCCATTATACTCTCATCATTGAAAACTTAAGATGAAACAGTCGTTTTACTTTTTAATGTAGTCAAACATACCTTCAACCTTAGAGTTTGTTCTCTTAATGTTCAGTGTTCTACTTAAGGAATCACATTCTACTCTGAGATGATAAAGTTATTTCATCATGTTTTCTCCCAAAAGATAACTGTATGTGTGTGTTCCTTATTTTTTTGTCTCAGGTGTTCTTTTGTTTACAGTTGGTAACAAGCATCCAATTTGAACTTTTCCCCTATAGAAACCCAACTTTTGCAACTAGATTGTGGTACCAATCCCTGTTTTTGTTCACTGTTTCCATTACCACTTCTGCTACATACCAAATTCCCACAGGGGTGTGTTTGTTGTTTATGGGCACTCTAATCCTGTCCATAGATACATATTTCTATTTTACCAAGACCACATCTTTAACTCTAGTTTAATAACCAGATGACCTCTGAGTGAGCAAGTCTGTATTATTTCACCTTCAAAATTATCTTGGGTAGTTCTTTGCTCTTTACCCTTCCGCATGTATTTTAGAAACAATTTGTAATGTTCCATAAAATTCTTGGTGAAATTTTCACTGGGATAGCCTTGAATGTATGTATCAATTTAGAGAGAGCTGACATCTTGATATTGGCTTTCCAAATCATAAAGATTATTTATTTCTCCATATATTCAGGACCTTTCTATATCTCAAAATATTTTATTACTTTCATCATACTGATTTTACATTTTTTTATTTTTCTGTGTAACAAGAGTTTTGATACTATTATGAATGAGGGCATTTTAAATTTATATACTTAATTGGTTACTTCTGGGCATGGATTTTTATATGTTGTTTACATTATTTCTGACCCCTCTTATTAGCTGTAGGAGATTTCAAATCTATCCTTCTGGTGATCTGATGTGGAAAATCATTACATTGCTTTTTTTTTGCCTTCCTATCCAGGTGTTACTTACATGTTCTCTTGGTGCTAAATCTCTACACTTTTTTTTTATAAGTACAGAATTTTTAAAATGCTTTTTGAATCAATGCATGCTATTATGTTGTTGATTTCCTCCAGGCTATTAATCTGGTATGCTTTATCAGCTTTATTTACTGTTTTATAATTTATATTTTCCTATACTTTTCTTTTTAAAGGTTTTTTACTTTTACGTCTTGTTTTGCTTTGATATGAACAGAGAAAAGCAGAGAAAATAGTACAGTCATTTCTCTACTAGATAAAGCTAGATATTTTCCTAATTGTTACCTATTTGTCTTTCCTCATTCTTAAAGTTCTTTTAGGACTGTGTTCTAAATGGTTACTATTCCTGAATGTCTATCTACCAGATAAGTGAAATTTTTTTTTATATTGCTAAATATAACTTCAAGTGAAAAGAGGCTGATATGAAACTATTGGGAAAAATTAGGAAATAGAATATTTTTAATTTATTTTCTTCATCATAAAGCTATTTATAAAATGTCCTTAACAGAATTATTTGTACATCAATTAATATTAGAAGTCTGTTGTGTTAGATAAACACCTCCTTTGCCATAACATTTGCCTCTATCAAGCACAGTTAAGTAATACCAGAAAGTGTTTTATAACAAAAATTGAGCAGCATTTAAATATCCATTTAAAGGACTCATAACTTTCAGAGTGAGACACTAGTGCCTTTAGAAATATTTTTAAGGGGCGCCTGGCTGGCTCAGTGGGTAGAGCATGTGACTCTTTATCTCAGAGTTGTGAGTTCAAGCCCCATGCTGGTTGTGGAGCTTACATAAAAAAAAAAAAATTTTTTTTTAAATCAATGTATAATTCCTACCTCTGTAATGAAGAATTAATTTCCTAATAAACACCTTCTTGCAAAATAATATTAATAATACTAATACCCTGAAAACAAGTTTTAAAAAAAGTCCAATGATAATTGATAGGCTCCGAGAGTTGGTAAATAGACCTGAGATTCTGATCCACGGTTATTAAACTTTGCAGGGGAGTTCAAAGCTTAAAGAAGAAATCAGATCCGCATAGGGTCACTGTAATGTTTATGCATTTCTCCCTCAAGAGCAGCTGTGGTCACAATGGTAGTACCAGTTGGTTAAAACTCAAAAGAATGATTTGCCATCTTTCTGAATGGACAAAACAGGCAAAGAAGCTGGGGACAATCAGGGCCACTAGATGGTATAGAAGTACACTGGAAG